AGTTAGCGGAAACAACTAGCCAAGACGCTTCTTACTTACCCCTTGAAAACGTCGCCACCTGCCCCCGAACCCGGAAGTGCCGCGGCTGTGGAAGCGGAAGTCGTTGTGCGTCGCTTCCGGTGCCCTTGGCGTCACGGTGCCATAGCAACACCGCGGCCGCCCGAACCGATGGGTGCGCATGCGTAGTTGCGTGGCTGCGTTCTAGTACTCGGGATGGATAGGTTACAGGGTCTCTCTCCCTAAGATTAGGAAAGTAGGACGGGGCTGGGAAGGTGGCTTAGCGGTAGTGCATTCATAAAGACCTGGGTTCGATTCCTAAGCACCACATAAGCAGAAAAAGCTGGAAGTAGCACTGTGGCTCAAGTGGTAGAGCACTAGCCTTGAGCTGAAGAGCTGAGGGACGGCGCCCAGGCCCAGAGTTCAAGCCCCATGATCAACAGCAACAACAAAAAACTCGGGGAGGGGCTGGGAAGGTGGCTCAGTGGTAGAGCGTTTGTCTTGCATGCATGAGGCCCTGGGTTCGATTCCTCAGCACCACATAAGCAAAAAGAAAAAAGCCGGAAGTAGCACTGTGGCTCAAGTGGTAGAGCGCTAGCCTTGAGCTGAAGAGCTGAGGAACAGCGCCCAGGCCCAAAATTCAGACCCCACAACCGGACCCCCCCCAAAAAAAACCAACTCGGGGACAGTGCCCAGGCCCTTAGTTCAAGTCCCAGGACTGGCAGAAAGAAAGAGAGAAAGAGAAAGAGAGAGAGAGGAGAGACAGAGAGAAAGCAAGCAAGCAAGAAAGAAAATAGAACTGTGGATGAAAGAGGATGAATACAGTCTAAACAGATTGTTCTTGACTATGAAAATAGAACAATGGCCAGTCGCCAGTGGCCCACACCTGTAATCCTAGCTACTCAGGGAAGTCTGGTGCTTCAAAGCCACCAGAGGCAGGAAAATCCTTGAGACTCCATCTCCAAACTAGCTAGAAGATAGGGGTGGAGGCATAGCTTAAGTGGTAAAGAGTCAGGTGAGCAAGCCTGCAACCCTGAATTCAATCACCAATACTGCCAAAAAGTATAGAAAGTAATGCTATAATCAGGTAATCAAATCAAGGTCATTATATATATATGTGTGTGTGTGTGTGTGTGTGTGTATACATGTATATTATCCAAACTTTTATACATTTTGCATAGTGAACATAAGTACAAATGGGAGCAAATTTTCTCTTCTTACCATTTTCTGTTGTAGGTATTGTAATGGGTGCATAAAAACTGCTTTTAGCTGGGTGCTGGTGGTTACACCTGTAAATCCTAGCAATTCAGATGGCTGAGATCTGAGGACCACAATTTGAAGCCAGTCTAGACAAGAAAGTCTCTGAGACTATCTCCAATTAACTCCCAAAGAACCAGAAGTGGAGCTGTTGCTCAAGTGGTAAAGTGCTCATCTTGAGCAAAAAGCTCAGGGAGAGTGCCCAGGCTTCAGTTCAAGCCCCAGGACTGGCACCCCCCACCACACACAAACAAATAAAAACAAATACAGCTTATGTCTGTGCCCCAAATGATGGCTAAAGGTGAACCAAAGCACTGTTTTCTGATGGCTATGTATCTCCATACACAAATAAAGTATATGAAGGTGAGTGGCTGAACCTGACATGTGAAAATCCTGGTGTTTGGACCTTGAGAATTCAAAACTCTAATTCAGTTTCTTTATATATTTCTTTTTTTAAAGGCAGTGATGTATTACTCCAATCTTGTAATGAGAGAAGTGAGGTTTGGGGTAACATGTCGAAGTTGACTAACCTGGTCCAGGCTCTTATCCTCCACTAGCCTGCTTCTCATGGCACCACCCTGACATTCTCCCTGTGAACTGCAAAGTAGCTTTATTAAAAAGCCCTCAAACGCTGGGCACCGGTAATCCTAGTTACTCAAGAGGCTGAAATTTGAGGATTGCAGTTTGAAGATAACCCAAACAGGGAAGCTGGGAGACTTATCTCCAATTAACCACCTAAAACCTGGAAGTGGAGCTGTGGTTCACGCCTGTAATCCTAGCTACTCAGGAGATCTGAGGATTGCGGTTCAAAGCCAGCCCAGACTTGAAAGTCCGTGAGACTCTTACCTCCAATAAACCACCAGAAAACCGGAAGTGGTGCTGTAGCTCAAGTGGTAGAGCACTCGCGTTAAGCTGAAGAGCTTGAGGGACAGGCCCAGAGTTCAAGCTCCATGACCGACAAAAAAAAAAAAAACAACAACAAAAAAACAAAGTGGTAGAGCATTAGCCTTCAGCAAACAGCTCAGGGACAGCACCTAGGCACTGGTTCAAATCCCACAACCCCACCACCGCCCCCCAAATATAAAGAAAAGTCATCAACATATACAATACATATGTCAAAGTCTAGATATCAGGCAACGTGGAAAACCAACAAACATACTCAAGCATATGGGCATTCATACACAAGCACATGGGCACCCACACGCACACACCAGCACACTCACACTACTACACAAGGGCAGCTTCTGATCTGGGATGAACAGTTGGAAATCTGCCTGATGTGTTTAGTTAATGAGGAGTTGATGTTGCTCTCTGTTGGAACATAAAGCTTCAAAGTCCAGATTGGTTTTCAGCACAGCTTGCTCTCTGGTGAACCCAGAGTGGTGTGTAAAGAGTCTTTTATGTGTTCAATGAAGATGCTAGTGGTGGACAATTGTAAAGCCGAATTCGGAAATCCTTACCCAAAAGACCACCAGAGACCGTCACCAATGTAAAAGCAAAGGAGTCTTTATTGCAAGCTCGAGCTTGGTTCCTGCCCCACCCCCCCAGTACATGGCAGCAGCCCATGATGCTGAGAGGCTTCGAGTCCGGGGTTACAGCACTTTTTATACATTTTTTAGGGAAGGCAGGGGTTTTGCATACATCATACCTTCTTGTAACAAATGACTACGAACCGCGGGAAAATCATAAAACAACTCTATAGTATGATTGGCTCACTACAAAGCGGGAAAGGACCAGAAACAAGTTGTTGGTTAGATCAAGGGAGCTGACATACTTTAAACTGGTTGGCTTGCACCACAGGGGAGTCTCAAGAGCATAGGTGCTAAACTGCAGGGTGTCCGGTTTAGATAATGGTCACCAGACCCTGGAAGGGGCAGCTCTGGAATTTCAGATACCTTGACGTACTGTCTTGAGAAAACAACATCTGTGGTTCCGAGAATTGTTTGTGCAAGGCTTGCTGTCCTAATTCCTAGCATTGGGGCTGAAGAGGGTCAAGGGTTAAGTTGCAGAACTGAGATGGGGGTCTTAAGTGAAATGGAGTTGCTTAGGTTCATCACAATGAAGTCATGGAGACTAAGACTGGAAGGAAGATTGGATATTATCCAGGTGAATGGTGTAAAACACTGTACTAATCACCTGGGAAACTTTTAAAGAATACAGAATCTCAATTTTGCAAATGGACTGCATATTAGGAAATGATTATTACATCACATTAAATCCTTCGACTTGAATAATACGGATATTATAAATGTGGGAGATTGCTCTTGATACATGATGAAGTATTTCTGGTGAGATACCCTTTGAGATGTTTTCAAGTAACTCAGGTGTGTGTGTGTGTGTGCACGTGTGCGTGAGCATGCATGTATGTGTGCACATCTGCACACAAGCGTGCCAGGTCCCTGAGCATGAGCCCACTCAAGTGGAAAAGCAAATGTGGCAAGTACACAGACTAGTGGATTCTAGATGGGTTTTCATCTTTTCAATTTTCTGTGAGTTTACATATTTCAACATAAAAGTTCTCAAGAATATGTCATTTCTGGGTATTCTGATTCAATAAATCACCTCAGTGCTTGGGGGATGAGCACTGTGAGGAGGAAGAGGAAGAGGAGGAGGACAAGGAGGAGGAGGAGGAGCCAAGAGGGTGACTGGCTTGAGAAAATTGAATAACTAGATTAACAGCAGCAGCAGGCTGGGAGTTATGCTTCTATTTCACCTGGAAGTGTTTAGTGCTATATCTGGGGTGTATATGTGCAGCTCAGGGAGCAGACCTTGAGTGGAGTGGGGTTGATGACAGGGCATCTTTGATTTGAAAGTCACTGTAAATGGTCCTCTAGGGCCTTGAGGCTTGTGTGTG